TTGGCAGGGTAGGTTTCGGGTGTGTGTGTGAGAGGGTTTCTGTGATGGTATGTCTGCCGCTCCGGTGTATTGCGACATCTCTTCTGAGGAGTCGGAGTATTCATCCAGCTCCGCGGCCATTTTGGGCCCAAGTGCGCCATGCGCCTGCCTGAAGAGCTCGCCTATATTCATTCCCTGTTTGGGTTTGACTGACTTCTGCTTCTTAGAATTACGACCCATGGTAGCTCTGGTCGTTCTGGAGCGTTGGGCTTCTTGTTTTTTGGGGTTTTATTCCCAGGATTTCGCCTATTAACGCTGTTTAGCCTGGAGCTCTGAGAGTGTGTGTCCGATCGCTTCGGCTGCTCGGCTCCGCCCCCCAAAAAGATACCTTTTCAACATCAAATAGACTTCAACGAAGAAACCTAAGAAAGAATTACAGTGGGGAGAGGGTTTATATCCCTAGAAGGAAATTCTATAATCCTGATAGGAATAACACACGTAAAACTCCTTTTAAAAAAAACTACTTTTAAAAGAGATTTCAACAATAGAAGAAATAATTCAGATAGTAATTTCCCCGAAACCAATAGATGGGGAGAAAGAAGAAGATATTCCAATGTAGATCATGTTTCAATTGGGAGAAATACCTTCCCTAGTTTAAACAGGGGAGAGAACTCATCTCATATTAATTCCAAAAATAATAAGTTATTTCCAACCTCGGAGGAACGATTGGGAACACCTAAATGGATTCTCAGCACTACAGGCGGATTCGCCCCAAAAAAGAATGAGAATAGATTTAGATTAGAGCAGGGGTAGGCAACCTACGGCACTAGTGCCATGCACGGCACTCAAGGTGTATTTGCACGGAACTCAAGGCTGCTAGAGCCAAACAGGCACTGGCCTATCAGGAGTCCCAGTAAAACTTCAGATACCTGCTAATATGAAGAGGTGGTGAAGGGCAATCCTCAATTTAAGCATTGCAGTACATAGAGGAAGTGATCCCAGCACTTGTGAATGGGAATCCACACTGTAGTAGAGCAGCCTGCAGCTGCTGTTGCAGCTCCTGTCCTTGACCTGTACCTGGCCAGCCTGGTCCCCACTGGAACCCAGGGAAGCCACACACACTGCAAGATATACACAGAAATGTAGAATAACCCTCCCCTCATACAAATAATATGGACAGCCCTCACTCAAACATACACACAATCCGCACAAATGTAACCCGCTAACAATCCACATACATGCACACAGCACCATATGCAGCCTCTCACATGCAATACCCCAAACAGCCAAACACACAATGTGACATATCCATCCACACACAATTCCACAAGCAGCCCTCATACACAGCCCACATTCATATGTATCATACACAATACCATAAACTACTAATGAACATATACAATATAATAGCTTATACTCGTACAAATACAACGATACAAAGCAACTACAATAAAAATAACACAAGCAGAATACGGCAGCATACACACCTCAATTTAAAAAAAATAAGACCGGCACGCTACAGGACATCACCATCCTATATCGGCACAGTGCTGCTAAAAGGTTGCCTACCCCTGGATTAGAGAATTCAAGTGAAAACCATTTTTTGTCAAAAAATCTAATTGAAAAAGGTATCTTTCATTTAACTAATGTCCAATTGACTGATCTCAAAATTAAAGTGTTAAATCGAGGTCTAAAATTTGCACCCAATTGTAACTCTAACAACTTTGAGTTATATATAGATCTACAAAAGTTTATCAGAAAACTAATGATAAAGAGACATTTTCTAAAATTTCCTACTACAAGCATCACCATACCATCTGAGAATGAACCAAAACCCCCCAGATATTTCTAGAGGTAAATCAACATTTTACCCAAGTCACAGTAAAGGGTTACATCTGGCAACTTTTTCTTACTTGGTGCAAAAATAATTAAATAAGATAAGTTACAATGGAACTAATCCTGAATCAGATATGACAAAAGAAGTATCTCTACGGTTGAAGCAGACCGAGACAACCTCATCATAAAAGAAGCAGATAAAGGGGGGAGGGGGGTGTTATTATGACTACAGAATTTTATATGGTAGAGGCATTCAATATTATAAAAGAAAAAAAACATATGCAGAGTTAATCATCCAACAAAAATATTTAATGAGGAATTGCAAACATTTCCAAATCATTTGAGGATTTTATTTTACAGGCTATTATTTTTATTTTAGAACACAATTGTTTTATGTTTGATAATATGTTTTTTTTCTACAACTCACCGGGACCGACATGGGGACCAGGTTCCAGCTATGCCAGTATCTTTATGAGAAGGTGGGAGGAGTTAACAATGTGGTCTTGGCATGGCTGGATTAGAGACCTGGTCCTCTGGCGACGTTATATAGACGATATACTTATTATTTAGCGTGGCACGTAAAATTATTTTCCAATTTTGTCGATTTGTTTAAGCAAAATTCATTTAACCTTAAATTTACATCTGAATGTAATATAGAAAAGATTGATTTTTTTTAGATGTGACCCTTTCAAATAGTGGACCAGAAATAATTTCCAAATGTTTTTTTTAAAACAAAAACAGATGGAAATAACTTTGTACATAGACAAAGCTGTCATCATGGCCCTTGGCTTCGAGGAATTGCAAAAAGACAATTCACTAGAGTTCGTCGGAATTTAGAAGGAACTAAAAAAATTTCTAGACGTGGTAGAAGCAACTTATTGAAGGATAAACCAAAAGAAAGGGATCATAGAGACAAGGAAACTAAGAAGAAATATGACCATGCTTTTACTACAAAATACAATATTGACCACTTTAAGATCAAAAGGGCAATATCAAAACATTGGCCCATATTACAAGAGGATAGATTTTTCAGACCTTTCCTTCCAGACCGCCCACCAATAATTTTCAAAAAACCAAAAAATCTTAAAAATACTTTAGCACCCAGTTACAGTTTTAAAACCACTAATAAAAACCATAAGGAAATGAATAAAATCGTAGGGTTTAAAGGTTATTTAACATGTAAGGCATGCAAAACTACAGGGAACAAAGCAGGAACCAAAAAGTATTTTGTTAGCACAGTAACAGGAAAAAAATACCTCATTAAAGATACTATCAATTGTCACACGGACTATGTAGTGTATTTACTGCAATGTCCGTGTGGCAAACAATATGTTGGTAAAACCAAAAGAAAGCTTGAAATTAGATTTCTAGAGCATCAAAACAACATTAAAAAAAAAAAATACACTAACCATACATTTCCAGTTCACTGTAATACTTATCCCCTTTTTAATTGGCAAAATCTGCCATGTTTTGGTATAGAACATATAAGACCACATTGGAGAGGTGGCAACAGGGACGAGAGGTAAGCACAGCGAGAGACCTTCTGGATCCATCAACTGGGCACACTGGAACATGGAGGTCTCAACGCTGAAATATATATTATTTGTATTCTTTAATGTAAATGGAATTACGGTCACCTATTATACGGACCCATTGTAGAAGTTATATTATATAATAGGGGTCAATTTAAATATATATATTTTTATTTATGATTATTTTTTATTTGAATTTTTATTTATTATTTATTTTTATTTTTTATTTTATTTTTATATTTTATCATTTTTGAAATATTCAGTCAAGATTCAATTAAATCTTTTTTTTTTTTTTATTCTTTTTTTTTGTGTGCATTGTTAAGTACAAAACAGCCCGCCTGGCCACAACAGCCTTGCGGGTGATGGTTGTTACAGGACTTCACAACATAGTTAAGGCATACTTTTGTCTGTCAGTTCCAAGTTGTAATGTCAGCTAGATCTGCACCTTTTATTTTTATTTTTACAAGTCAACTAGTGTGGAACTAAGGCCTCCATGGAGTGCATTTGCAGTGTATGTCATTCCCCCTCGAGTTCCAGGATCATGGTAATTCGGGGTGTGGGTATCTGAAGGTTGTCAGTCCAAAGGTTGTCAGCGTGTTTGTACCCCTTAATGTGTTCCGTGTTGGGTTTGCGTGTGTGTGCGCATGGCTGTCCTTAGTGTTGTTCGTATCTGCGAGTGAATTATATGATGTCTGTTTATGTCAGCGTGTGTGCGTGGGGCAAGCGTTATCGCTCATGAAGCCCGTTGAATCTTTGTGGTCTATCGATGGGTTGGGGTTTTGACTTCTTACCGAGGAAGTCGCGGGGGGGTGGGAGAAGGTATATTCTCCCCGGAGCTTGTGGTGTTCTTTGTCCGAGTAAGTCACGGCTGATGGCGGTCAGTCACAGTTATGGTATAGCATAAGCTATACTTGTCGAGGGTGTGTGTAGTAATATCGTGCTGAAAACCAATAACAAAACACCAAAACATAAAAACCATAAAAAACAAGCATAGGGTAAAACAGTAGGTGAGCCGGCATGCAAAGCCCTAAAGAGGAGGCAGTGTCTGGTTAATGTATTAAAGTCGCTGGCCACCATTAATGCAGTTCAGAACAGCTCTTCCTCAGCGCCTGGGGAGGACACATAGGAGGTTGAAGGTCTGGCGCAGTGGGGCAGTTCAGGTTAGGGCTCCGCTTCTCTCAGTGTTCCTAGGAGTGAAAGAGATTACTGTCTCTGGGTTCCATGTGTGTGGCGTCGTGGGGTTCTCCCTTGTTTGGGTTAGAGCTGGCATCCCTAGTGCGCTCAGGAAAGGTTCTGCATCCTGTAGCGAGGAGAGGCTGTGCGTGGCGCCCCCCTTGGTCACTGTCAGGGACCTTGGGAATGTCCATTTATACTCGAGCTTTGCCTCTCTCAGTTGAGTTGTGACTGGGGCCAGGGATCTGCGCCATAGTAATGTGTTGCGGGTCAGGTCTTGGTAAAAGGTAACGTGAGAGTTTTCATATGTTAGCGGGGTCTTCCCTCTGACCGCCGTGAGAAGCTTAATTTTGTTGGTCACGGACTGACATTGGATAATGACATCTTGAGGGGCGTCCGTTGGTGCTTGTCTGGCTTTTCTGATTCTAAAACAGCCGTCCAATACAAGTTTTTTTGCCTGAGCAGGTGGCAGAAGCGTCGCTATGAGACGTCTGAGGTAGTGGGGTAGTTCTGATGAGTGTCTGGGATCCCCCTTAATTTTAGGTTAGCACGTCTGTTGCGGTCTTCTGTTTGGTCCAGTCTTGTGATTAGGGTGGACTGTGCGGCCTGCATATGGTAACAAGTGTCTTTTATCTATCTCACCTCTCTTTGGAGATCTAGGATGTTCTCCTCTGTGGCCCGTGTGCGTGCGGTCATCGCTTGCATTTCAGTCTTTATTAGGTTGATATCTGCTGCATGCATTCTCCTCATTTCCATCAGGAGGTCGGCAATATCTTGTTTGGTAGCCGGGGTTTGTGTGTCTTGGCCGGCAAGTGACTCTGTGGCTTGGGGAGCGGTGGATATTTCTAATCCAGCCCCATGCTGTTCCTCCTCGTCTGGAGAGGCTGGCGTGCGCTCCGCCGGGGTCGCCATCTTGGGCGCCATTGGCCTCTGCAGCATGTCGCCGATATCTTGGGTGCCTCTGCCGGCGGTTGGTGGAGGCTTTTGGGACCTGCGACCCATTGTGTAGCCGTTCGGTTCCGCGGGGTCCTTTAAGAGGTAGGTGCCGTGTCGAGCGTCGATTGCTCCAATTAAATCTTTTAATTATTATTTTTACTAATATTTACAATTGTTCCTTATGTATAGGTAAATTATTCCCATACTCACTATTATGTATGAATTTGAATAGTAGAAATTAAAACGCATATTAATTCTCCACTTGGAAGTAATTCACATACAATATTTATTTATTCTTTTTTTAGCTTTAAAATAATAACAGATACCAGTGTAGTGCCCTTATATTTCACTTTCCCCTCTGTTGTTAATAAAGCATAGTAGATTGCTATCTATTAGTTGCTATGTTCTCATATATTTTTGAGCCTTTAGGGCTTCCATTAGTAATACCTTATTCTATGAGTTATAAGTGGAATGCAAAAGGAGGACCATGCAATGAACCCACACATCATCAGAAGATACCAATTCAAATCGACACACTGGAAATTACGCTCCGATATGGCCGAAAACTGGAAGGAGGTCCCTGAGGAAGTCCTTACAGGACGGAACATGTAGGACCTGGTATAACACCACTTTTATATTTACTTTTTATAATAAAGCAGAATTTTATTCATCTACCCTGAGTCCGTTTTCATCATCTCGGAAGGCAGGAGGAGTGGATTTGGCGCCCCATTTCAATCAGGGGAGGCACCCATGGGCGATATATTTTCATCTATCTTGTGAGTGTTACTCATTATAGTGCATTTATATTTATTTTACAGTGTTACACTATCATTTGCTTTTTATGTTGTAGATCTACAGCTGTATCCTCTCTCTTTTTTTTAAATTCTTTTTTTTTTCATCTTGGCAGACACAGTAAGACAAATGTTTTAGCATGTCGGCTTGTGCAAAAGCCTATTTTGAATATCAAACATTTCCACTTTGTTACACATTAAGTTATTCAGCACGATATCTTTTAACTCTGCTCAATTTACTGTCCACTAAGGATTTTTTATGTTTTTTAAGAGAAATAAACTGATTATAACATGAACAAATAACCATTGCGTACTTCTAACATTGTACCACTTGTTTTGTCTTATGTTCCATTTCTATGGTGCTTATCCAGCCTTTTAGGTCTGCCTTTCGTACCCGGCGTACGCATGATGATGGCTGCGGATTTAGTGGTCATTTTCCTGTTTCATAGCACTTTACAAAGAGCTATTTCAGCTCTTTGGAATGTAGCCTTGCTTCTACTGGCATAGATTTTGGCTAGACGCATGTTGAACATTAGAGCCCTTTCAGCAGATGAACCATAGACCTCCTTCTACCATTATAGAGTAGTTCTTGAGCTTTTATTTCTTCCCAAATGTTTCTGTCCATTTCATTGAAACCAGGAGATTATTTTGAAAGCCTATTTCCAGAATACATCTTCTCCAGTAGAAAATATAAATAAAAGTTCAGAATTCCCAGCAAGCAAAGGAGAGAAGCTGTTTCAATTTCTATTCTTTGTTCCTGGGTGGCCAGTGCTATTTCCCATGCTTACAGGCCTTTCAAGTGTCAAAGGCATTTAAGCCTTTCAAGTGTCATTCCACTATAGCAGAGGATACCAACTGCCTAACCCAGGGGTACCGCCTAACCCAGGGGTTAGGCCTAACCCAGGGGTACAATCCAGTTCCCCTGGGGGTGTGTGAAAAAAAATTGCAGGGTGAGCAGGTCTATTGGCTAGCCCATGCACTTAGGGCCAACCGATAGACGTGCCGTAAGGGGCCCGGTCGTGTTCTGCAGCTCTTTAACATCACAGCAAGGCCTCTTATATGTAGGGAGAGCTGGGAGGAAGACAGAGGGTGGCTAAAATTTTGACCGGTATGTGTGTTTTTGGTGTCTGTAGGTATGTAGTGTTTGTATCTGTGTGTGTAGCTGTATGTGTGTGTATCTGTATGTTTGTCTATCTGTGTGTGTGTTAATGTTTGTATCTGTGTATCTGTATGTCTGTGTACCTGTGTGTGTGTCATTGTTTGTATCTGTGTATCTATCTGTGTGTCAGTGTGTGTATCTGTCTGTATGTCAGTGTATGTATTTTTATGTGCCAGCGTGTATCTTTATGTCTATGTACCTGTATGTAAGTGTTTGCATCTGTGTGACTGTGTATCTGCATGTGTAAAATAGTTTGTATCTGTGTGTCTGTACATCTGTATGTGTGTCAGTGTTTGTATCTGTATGTATGTGTATCTGCATCTGGGTCAGTGTGTCTCTCTGTGTCTGTATATGTATGTGTGTCAGTGTTTGTATCTGTGTAACTGCATGTGTGTCAGTGTATCTGTGCAACTGTATGTGTGTCTGCGCATCTGCATGTGTGTCACTGTTTGCATCTGTGTGTCTATGTATCTGCATGTGTGTCAGTGTGTGTTTCTGTGTATCTGCATGTGTGTCAGTGTGTATCTGTGAATCTGCATGTGTTTCAGTGTTTGTAACTGTGTGTCTGTGAATCTGCATGTGTGTCAGTGAGTGTATCTGTATGTCTGTGTATCTGCATGGGTGGCAATGTTTGTATCTGTGTGTCTGAACATCTGTATGCATGTTCACTGTGTGTGTGTATCTGTATGTCAGTTGTAACTGTGTATCTGCATGTGTGCTAGTATGTGTGTCAGTGCAACTGTATATGTGTGAGTGTATGTATTTGTATGTGTGTCAGTGTTTGTGTGTCTGTATGTGTGTGAGTGATTGTATCTGTGTGGCTATGTATCTGCATGTGTGTCAGTGTATGTTTGTATGTCTATATCTGTGTGTCTGTGTATCTGCACATCTGTATGTGTGTCAGTGTTTGTATCTGTGTGTCTGTATCTCTGTGTGTCAGTGTTTGTATCTGTGTGTCTGTATATCTGCATGTGTGACAGTGTTTGTATCTGTCTGTCAATACATCTGTATAAATATACACCAGTGTATCTGTATGTGTCAGTGTGTCTCTCTGTGTGTCTGTATATGTATGTGTGTCACTGTTTGTATCTGCATGTGTCAGCATGTTTATCAGTGTGTCTGTGCAACTGTATGTGTGTCTGTGCATCTGCATGTGTGTCAGTGTTTGCATCTGTGTGTCTGTGTATCTAAATGTATGTCAGTGTGTGTATCTGTGTTTCTGCATGTGTGTCAGTGTGTGTCTGTATTTACATATGTATCAGTGTATGTATATCTGTACTGTGTATGTATATATATGCCTGGGACAGAGGAGAAACAGGGAGAGCCTGGGGCAGAGAAAAAGGGGAGATGGGGCAGAGAAAAATGTATAAATTTGAAATAACAGCAATTCTAGTCATGGCCGGCCTTAGGGGTGAGTGAGTTGTGCGGCCGCACAGGGTGCCATGGCCAGGGGGCGCCATGTGGCCCACACAGCTCGCACATGGCCGGTGTCAGGGGAGCCAAGACATGGAGTATTTCATTATTCTCCACCTGGGTCTATTAAAAACAAACAAAAAACAATCGAGGCAGCGGGGACGGGGCTTAATGAGCAGCAGGGGTGGAGCTTATCAAGAGGTGGAGACGGGGCTTATACATAGCCAAAGCCCCTGGTAATACCTATCCGAAGCTGCACAGGAAGAGGAAAGCAGGGAGACGTCCCTGTTTCCTCAACAACCAACTGCATCCACTACCCCTTTGAGCCATAATGGAAAGAGGTAAGTCTGTGTGTGTGTGACTGTGACTACCTGCCTGTGTGTTACTGTTTGCCTGCTCATGTGTCTGCCTGTGTGTGTGTGTGTGACTGTCTGTATGACTGCTGCCTGTGTGTCTGTCTGCCTGTGTGTATGTGTGTGTGACTGTCTGTATGACTGCCTGCCTTTGTGTGTGTCTGTCTTCCTGTGTGTATGACAGCCAAGGCTGGACTGGCCCACCGGGATACCGGGAAATTTCCTGGTGGGCCGTCGGCACCTGGGGCCCGGGCAGACACCTGGGTCTGCTGGCGGCTGCTGGGGGAGGTCTGCTGAAGGCTGCTGGGGGGGTCTGCTGGCGGCCGATGGGGGACTTGTACTGGCGGCCGCTGGGGGACTTGCGCTGGTTCTGCTCCCCAGCGCGCAGCTTAATGAGACCGGTGCCGGAATATGACGTCATATTCCGGCCCTGGTTTCATTCAGCAGCGCGCGAGGTCGGGAGAGCAGAGCCAGCGCAGCCAGCAGACCCCCCCAGCAGACCTCCCCCAGCGGCCGCAAGCAGACCCCCCCCAGCCGCCAGCAGACCTCCCCCAGCAGCCGCCAGCACAGACAGCCGTCTGCACTGCACGACCCCCTGGCAGGTATTAGTAATGTGTGTCAGTGTGAGTTTGTCTGTCTGTTTTGGTGTGTCTGTCTGTCTGTGTCATGTTGTGTCTGTCTGTCTGTGTCATGGTGTGTGTCTGTATGGTGTGTGTGTTTCTGTCTGTCTGTCTGTGTCATGGTGTGTGTCTGTATGGTGTGTGTGTTTCTGTCTGTCATGGTGGGTGTGTCGGTCTGTCCGTCATGGTGTGTGTGTCTGTCTGTCATGGGGTGTGTGTCTGTCCATCATAGGGTGTGTTTCTGTCCGTCATGGGGTGTGTGTCTGTCTGTGTCATGGTGTGTGTGTGGGTCTGTCTGTGTCATGGTCTGTCATGGTGTGTGTGTGTGTCTGTCATGGGTTGTGTGTCTGTCATGGTGTATATGTGTGTTTAAAAATAGTGTTTTTGCTCACCTTTGTTTTCCCCACGCAGCGTGCTGGTCTCCCCTTGACTGGCCCTGCCTCTATGGCTGAGATCATCAAGCTTGATGATCTCAGCCAATCCAATGCTTTGCCATAGGATTGGCTGCAAAACACTACACCAATCAGCATCTCCTCATAGAGATGCATTGAATCAATGTATCTCTATGGGGAACGTTCAGCACCTACAGAGTGTGGAGGCCCTAAATGTAGGTGCACTGACACAGGAAGCACCTCTAGTGACCATCTGAGTGACTGTCACTAGCAGTGTAACTTTGAAGCAATGTAAACACTGCCTTTTCTCTGAAAAGTCAGTGTTTACGTTAAAAAGC